TGATACATAATAAGTACATTGTACTAGAAATTTACAAAAATGTTTTCATGACAAACCTCTCAGAGTTCTTATGTATTTGGTTCTGTTTCATAGAACATTTGTTAAAAACCTTAAAATTAAACATTTAAATATAAATTACCGAAATTAAAATTTTTTGTGCCTCTTCCATAAAATTCTAGCAAGAAAACACAGCTAAATATCAGAAATGTGTGTTTCTTTCATGCTTGTCGCTTTAAGATGGTGCAAAGGTTGTAGCAAACTGAAAGAGATAAGAGATGCATTTTGTAGTTTTACTACTATAATCATAAGTATTCTTGTAGGCCATGTTGTTTTTACTTAATCGTTTGCATTACTGTTTTTATAAAAGTAGTTTTTACGTCACGTGATGGGCATGACTTGATTACTAGGACTGTCTGAAACTGTAGAGAACAAGTTAGGCTGTAGTGTATTATTGATTGATATATGAGTCTTTACGGTAGATGATTGATTTTTGAATACAGAATTTGTTATTCAGTTTACCTCATACTATCAGGGAGTTAGTCAGTTAGTTCAGTTTTCTGAATATTGAGTTTCTGTTTCACCGAAGTACTGGAGCTCCGGGAAGTACCGTTAGTACAAGAAACAATTATCAAGTGAGTGAAGTTGCTGTGTTAGCGTCTATTGTAAACTTAGGCCTAACAGTGAATATTATTTTGGCATTATTTTGGTGAAAATAAAATAGAATTTAGACTAAACGGGATAGAAAATGTACTGAAAATGATGAAACAGTGGAAAGATCGTCAATAAAAAGAGGGAGAAAACTAAAAGAAGGCTATAAAGAAATAGACTAAAAATTAAAAGAAAATCAAGAAGAAAGAAAGTTATGAGAGAAATTATAAAAACGAGACGTAAAATTTATAGAAAGGTAACAAACAAAAATCAAGTTTATGAAAGACAAGATCGACTTCGAATAATCCGTAGAAAATGTACAGTTTTCAGTTGAAAAAGCCATAGATGTACAAAAGGACATCATTGCCAAGATAAAACATCTATAAACACTTAAGAACTTCAACCTAAAACATCATTAACAATGCAGAATTGAACCCATCTAGATATCACCTGTTACGAGTACTGTTGTGCCACCTATGACTGTAGTATCTTTCTGTACTAGTTCAGGTATAACACCACCTACTTAAATTACAGTATGTCACATGCCAGTTCAAAGCATTGACCAATCGGGAAACCAACAGATTATGATGTAAAGGTACCATGGGAAGAACATTAAGCATAGTTCAAAATCATTTCAAAAGTGAGTGAATTGAATAATGAACAGCAAGCTATTTATTTCGTTGCTAAGTTATATGGACGAGCTGTAAAGAGATTACACAACTTCCCAAAGAGAACCATTGTAACTATCAGGAACTGTTGTCTGCCTTATCAAATAGTTATGGAGTGTCACTTGTGAGTGAAGTTTCTAAAGTAAAGTAAGAAGGAAAGGTGAGAGCTTAGCTGAACTTGTTAAAATTGTGGAAAAACGTGCACAATACGTGCACATAACGTGAAATTGTAGATTTGTTAGCATGCAACCAACTCATTGGTGGCATAGTGGATCAGAATATGGCAATTACACTAAATCAAAATAGATGAACATCTTTAAGGAAAGTTGTTTGGATAATGATGGAACATGAATGAATTAAAGTCGCAGATAAAAACTAAATTCAATATACAGGAATTATGATAATATCAGATCAAATTGTTTAGAAACATCAGTTATTTTTGAAGAAGGTCTAGAAGAGCTCAAACGATTAAATAGACAACTTTCAACTGATAATGGATGACATTGACCAGGTATTTCAATTAAAAGTTAAAATACAGCAAAAGTTCTTTAATGAGACAACTGTTTACTCAGGATGAAGGAAATAAGCCACAGGACGGAAATTGTTTTAATCGGATCTTCAAAGGAAATATTCTCAGGGGTTGTAAATAAAAGTTTTCAAGTAATAGTAATTGCTGTCAAAGTAAACAGAAAAATTAAATTGCTATAAGTGTGAAACAAACATGGAAACTACATCCGAGACTGTGATGAATCAACCATTGATAGTAAGCCAAGGAAGTGATATCCGTAACATGAGAATGCTTCTTCTGTCCAAACTGAGATATGGTGATCATTACTTAAAGAAACTGTCCACGAGGTAATGCATTCAATGATGGAAAACCTTGAAAAACTACCATTCTTTGACCTGATGTGGTAACTAAAAGTTGAGAATTGCCTTCGGTAATGATGCAAGAAGATGGATTGAAACAAGAAACAAATAGCCATAAAATTCCAGGAAGAGAAAAGTTGGAGGTCACCGTCAGTGTGGAAAACTTTTCTACATAACATATGTGACAAATTGAAATCGAGGAAGAGTGGATATTGGGAATAAACTGCATGCAAAGATATGGCTGTGAGGTTTTCAGACTCTATGACTAGGTTGTAATTCTAGTTACGACATGGGTGCGAGCACAAAATAATATAGAAAACCAAGTGTGACAGATCAGAATCTAGCAAAACAAGTGGTCCAAACCAAAGTTCATCCACACTAAGTAGTTGGCTTTACCGAACTTTTTACCAGTGGTAACAGTAAGTGGTTGGCTTTAACAAAGTCTTTACCAGTGGTCACAGTAAGTGGTTGGTTTTAACGAAGTATTTACCAGTGGTCACAGTAAATGGTTGGCTTTAACGAAGTTTTTACCAATGGTAAATCAACCTGGTGAAAATATAAAAGTTCCTGCCGATACTACTTACAGAGAACCAGTACGTATGGAGTCACCAGTGGGTTCTCTCGACCATCTGCCTGAATAAAATTCCCTAAGTAACAAGATAGTAAGTAATGATAAATAATCATGCGTCATACTATATTTTTTCCGTCGTGAGCCATGGAAAAGAACGCCACCGAAATGACTAGGTAACTAAACAATGTAAGGAAAATAAGCGAATAAAGAAAGAATACTTTGTTTAACTGAATTGAATAAAAACAAAAACAAGTGTACGTTTCAGAAAAACTTTATTTATTCACGACCATGGTTGCGCAAGTAAAGGCATCATCAGGTACAGACTGTAATGGTTTGTAAACAGGTTTATATATAGTTTAAACAAAGAACCGGAAGAAACCTTGACACTTGAGACAAGTGGAGAGATGCTTAAATTGGTCTGGTCGTTTAAAACTTTTTCTGGATTTGTTTTTAGGCTTCTATTTATTTCTGAAATTTCCAGTTTATATAGTTTTTTACCTTTTTCACAGATATATAAAATTTAGCAGTTTTTTCGGATCAAATGGACGTTTAGTTTCAATAAGGAGGGATGTAAAGGTTGAATCCTTTTTTTGTTACTTTCTAGAATGTTCTTTAATTATCCTTTCTATGGAACGTCCTGTTTGACCTATGTATACACTACTGCAGTCTTGACACCTTAATTGGCAAACATTATTGTTACTGTATTTTTCTATTTTGTCTTTGTTGCAGCACAACATTTTGTATAGATTGTTTGTACAGTAGAAGGCCGGTCTGTATATTAATTTGTTCAGTGTGTTAAGTATCAATTATATATTTCGTTTTGTTAATCAAAAGCTTAATTATACTATGTTTCGCACATTTAAGAAATAATATAAGGATTGTAATGTGTATATCTATGACTGTCAATGTTGTTAAACTTCCGTAATTAACAACATTGATAGTCATAGATATACACATTACAGTCTTAAATGTACTACTGTTTTTTCTTTGTGTTTTTACTAAGATCGTTTACGGAATTGCACAAACCAGGTGGAGGACAATGTTTTATATTTTAATTTAGACGTATGTATTATTATGCAGAGGGAGTTTTCACGTCATGTGAGGAGCATGATGTAATGGACTAGAACTTTCTTGGAAGTGTAGAAAACGATAAGAGCTATATAAAAAGCGAAATACATTTAGGTTATTATTCATGGATTTGTGAGTCTGTTGCGTTGGTTACTTATCACTAAGTAAACGAGTTTGGTAGTCAGTTAGTTTGTTGCTGTTAAGTAGATAGTTAGTTCAGTTTTGTGAATACTGAGCTTGTTTTTCAACGAATTACTAGAGCTACGAGAAGTACTATATATTCGAGAGCTTATTAGCAAGCCAGTGAATTTTTTGTTGCCATCCTTCGTGAACTTAGACTTATCAGTGAACATTAGTGAACAAAAGTTCTTCAGTTTTGAATATAATGCCACGCTTTATTAGACTATTGTATTGTTAGTTTACTAGTACTGATAGCACCTGAAAAGTTTAGTTTAGATGGCTGCAATACCTTGCATAATTTTGTCAAATATTTTTCTTCATTAATTCACAAACATTAATGAATCTGAGGTGCTTCGATGAACGTATTCAGGAGATATCATCTGTGCAATTACTGACAGAGGAAACTTTAAATGCCTTAGTTTAGAACCAAGTGTTCAATATGTAACGTGAACCAAAGAGGCGGAAATGAAAGTAGTTTATTAACTAAACTAATATTTGTTTATTTAAAAGTTTATTATGACAGTTCGATAATCATATTTTTTGTTTTCATAACTACAGATCTAGGAAATTCACTGAATCGCCACAAATCTAGATAATATTTCCGTATATGCTACTCATGCTTTGCACACGTTACAATATAGAAGTCGGAAATATTAATGTTTTATCAATCACCTGCAAACCTCTTGCCTATTAAGCGGCAAGTACCACTTCGATTCATATATATTTGGTTTTTAGCCTTTTCTTGTCATAGTTGAATTATTAAGAACAAATCACGTGCAAATGTGGATATTTCGAAATGTGATCGGCATTGTAGACTTTGAACCATAGCTTCATAAAAATATTCCAATGTCACGAAAATCAAAAATAGGTGTTGTAAGCCGATTGCTAGAACTCTTGTGACAGAAAGATTTTCTTTTCCAATTCCAACTGCCATAATCACACTCAAGTTTTAATATAGAGAGAACCATGCAAAAAATTATGCTATGATGTTTACTTACCCCTGGTAATGTCTTCTGTTCGTGCAGCGCCATCTGAGCTTTAATTGCACTATCCCGGGCACAGTAGGTTAAAAATGCACAGCCTGGAAGATAACCACGTATTTTATCATACTACCTTTTGAGTTTTGTAGCTCGTATATCGTTTTAACATAATGTCTAATTTTTCAAAGTTTTTACAGTTTAAAAATTTGATAAGATACCTTTTTGGTATTTTCATTCAGCATAGCAGCTATTTACTTATTTTTCATAAAGCTATTCACATACATAGATTATCAAGTAATATATATAGTTATAAAGCGTATTACGATTACCCACTTAGTGTTTCTTATGATTATAATATACTTAATGCTTACAAAAATAAACAGAAGATGAATAAGTACATGAAAAAGGTCTTAAGTTGTGAACTGTAAGGTATTTATGAAGTATCTTCAGGTATGTGCAAGAAGAGATTTTTTTCAGTTAAACTTACATGAACTTTTTACAATCTCAAGTTAAGAGTTCCAAAATGAGCAATAAGTGAACATTCGTTTCATCTAGTAGCCTTTGTGTTTGTACAGCGTCAACATAAGAGAAACAAGACTGACATAAAAAGATGAATACGCTATATTCAAACGATTTTAGAGTATCATCACGTCGTTACAGTCCAGTCATGTTTTATTTTACGACTGTGTATCTTGATAATAGCTCTGCAACAAATCTTCCATTGCTAAAGGCTCAGTCGTATAGCTCTTATGTTCAAACCACACCACACCTCCATGCATGCTTCCTATAAATCACCTAGAGAACGACACGACGCCCGTTTCAATTGCCCGAACACACAAAAATCTACAGGAGCTGCATCCGGTGACTTGATCAATATCTTTTCATATGCAATAGCATGAATACTTGTTTTATTCTCTAGCTACTTTAGGTTTGCGTTTAAATAGATATGTCGAAAACCAGTTTGTATACACGTGATTTTTATCGCTACTTCAGACTGAGATCTTATTTGGTTATGTTGCATACTGTTATCTGAGTCACGTGGAAAGCTTTTTCCACCGATTTTTGTGTTCGTATTCTCACCTCTTACTTTGATTATCATGGTTGGGTTACGACTTGTCGCAGGTCTCTTTCTGGATGGTACTGGTGTCGCAGGTTTATCCATGTTCCTTTGTTTTCCTATACCAGAGATATACCCGTTTTGGGAATTACAAATCCAGACCAGAACACATTTTATGATCCAGTGTATAATATTTTGCAGGAAAAAGGGTTGTCCCTTAGCCTGCCTTCCCAAAAGCGACACATTGTTGGTGTCATCACAATACCTTCAACGTAACGCCAAACAATGTCAAAATGTAGTTTTGGTACATTCTGTTACACCACGACTTTATATCGGTTAAATTTTACATGTGACTTTCTGGTTTGCATATTCAAAATATATAGCACTCGACTTTCTGTATATCTGAACATCACATAAATTATGTCACAGTAATTCAATGCTGATCTAACGTTCTAACATAATCACATAAAAAACACGACTACAATAAAAAAAAACTAAAAATATAGGTCGAGTACATTTAGTAATTCATAAATGTGTATATTATATTAATATTTACCAGAGTTATTCATTTAAATATAATCTCAAATAATTATCATTTGAGTGGTTACTGATCACAAAGCTCCAGATGTATACACAGTACTTCTAAGTGAAATTATTGATGTTCTGAAAAATCAGAGTTACATAGAAGTAAGGCCCACTTAGCCGTGTATTTGCAACTTTCTTATATCTAATAACCAATAAAATAAAAGAGTATTATAATAAGAAAAATTAGATAAATTAACATGAATTTAAAAAAGGTTTTTACATATCGTTCTTTGGGTTTGTACTTTTTACCAGATTTCATACATAAATCAAGTAATGAATTAAAAAAAGTGCAAGGTAATATTTTTATCTAATAAAGTACTTATATTGTATATTTCAGAAAAGCTGAAATGCCTTACATAAACGTCCAAAGTTTAATTTTTTAAATGTTTAATATGTTACGTAGCATATTTCGAAAACTGCTTTTGATTTTATGAAATTACTGACACATTATAACACAAAACTGCGAACATGTATGGCGCTGGGTTTCGGTTTCGCGACCCGTATATTGCGAGTCGAGCGCACTAACTACCAGGCTATGCCTTGCCAATTTCAAGGTAACAACCTTCCTAGTATACATGGAGGCGTATATTTTTACTACCGATAAAACATGTATTTTTTTTTATTATACCATAACTCTTTGAACGAATTATCACTAATAAATAGCATTCACCTAAACGGATTTTAGAAAAATAAATTACTATATCAAATCCTTGCATGTGCAGACTCACGAAATACACTCGACCATCACAAGCTGCACGTTTAGACTACATAAAACATTACTTTATTATCTTATCCCAACTGGATTTAATGTACTAGTGAGGATTCCTTGCTTACAGTTTATTTTCAAAATCACTTAATCTTCCCTGAAATATTTTTGGAGGGGTAGAAAACTGTTCTTTGAAACATACAGAGATTTATCTGTTATACGTCTTACAGTTATTCCAGTAACGTATAACGAAAATAACAACAAAACGGACATTTTTAGGTTTTGTGCAGTCAAGCGTTCCGTACGCATTAAATAAACAGATGTAGAAACGATCTTCAAAAGTCATAATTGTGGCATCTCGTGTTACCTTTGAGTTAAAAGTAGCGTGGTGGAATATTTTTTGCCTTGTAGTCCAACAAACAACGTTATGTATTTGAATCATATCCAGCAAAATCGCACATGTGAAAATAATCAGAAATACACAGAATATTATTTGCCTTTCTTGCTTCAAAAACAGTTAAATACATTTTGGCTATTTGTTCGGCCATAGTTTTTGTAATTTTTGCTTAATATCTGAAATTATAAGTTTCAATGTGTGTAAGGTTTTGTTTGTTTATAATTAAGCAGAAAGGTAACCATTGAACTATCTGTGCAGTGCCTACCACGGGTATCGAAACACGGGTTTTTAGCATTATAAGCCTCCAGACTTACCACTGTACCACTGAGGGGTTTTGTAGGGAACATGATAGTTGCAGTTGTGTAACGTACAACATAACAGTGTGATGCTAGACACGTACACTATACGTAAAAGTAACATGTTTACAACTATATCAGGAACATCTCTCCAAAACACGTAAATCCAATTTAACTCTTCACGTAAACCAAAAATATATTATCAATATTTATTGGAATGCTCGAAAATTTGTTTTCTATTTATTTTTCATTTAAAATGTGTAAAATCTGTAACAAAAATATCTGTTATTCGAACTTTCAATTAATATATATAAAAACTTATGATAATCGTACAATTTAAAGTTAAGGCATTCAACAATGATCGTTCCACGACTTGTAAAGCTATTTTCCTCATTCAAGCAAAAATGGTATTTTTAACTATTTTATTGTATATGTTTGCAGTTAAATTAGTGTCGCTAAGATTGAGAAATAAAGTTTGGAATGCAGTTCAATAACTCGTGAAAGTGAATTGTCTTACCCACTTTAAATCAGTAAAAAAAAGTAGCCAAATAAGATTAAACTTTGGTTTTTACTAAATTTTATTCATACGTTGAGCAATCACAAACCAAGCTAGAGGTTACATTATATCTGTCGTCACTGATAATAATTTACCTTCATAAAAAGTAAGTTTTCAATCAAAGAGATTGAGCACAAACTTGGCACTTTGTTCTTTACTGCTATCTGAGACCTATATTCTATACACAGATTTCAAAATATATATATACCCATTATTCTCCTTTCCATATCGCCAGCACTGTTATTCTCGTGATAATAGTTACTTTTCTTTCCATACACGGAGTGACGTTCTTGTCGTTCATTGGATATGAAAGTTGGTATCGCATAAAAGCTAAACATGAAACCCACGTCACATCTAATAAATAGCTTTAGGGAATGCAACCACAGGTAAGAATCGTGAATCAATATCAAAGCTGGTCGCCCTAAAACATGTCTCATGTCAACGTAACTAATTTCTAGAAACCGAATTAATCGTAATTTCAGTATTTGAATTCACCATGACAAGAAAGTGAACAGTACGTACGAATAATCATTTACGATGAAATAGATATCCAGTTTAACACATTTATATTTCTCGGATGGAAGGTGTAGAAACTGCTCAGTAAAAATTGTCATTTAAAAAAACGTTTAATCTAACACTCGTAAGCCCTTAAAAGTGTGAGTACACGAGAGATAAATGTTTCTATGGAGCTTATACTGTATTTTGATCAAAATCAAATGTGAAACATAACTTATGTTGAAAAGTGTTCACTATTTTTGTTTTCTTATTTTGTTAAGACTCAAAGCTGCACACGGGCTACTTGTGCTGTGCTCATCGCAAGGCTCAAATACACAATTTTAAGGTTAAAAGCCCTCAGGGCTTACCACTCAACTAGTTGGAACTATATTTATTTCTGAAAGATTGTTCAAAATCCCATGTATTTTCGAAATTGATGTTTCTGAATATTTCTTTCCCACGTCATATGCGTGCATGTAAGCAACACATTCTCAATTTCGTACTATATATACATACATTAACTCAAGCAGGTTGATTTGAGTGGCACAATTTATAAAGAAATAGGCCCTGGATATTTTTGTGTAAAATTCCAGTCCTAATTCAACATACAAGAAACAGCTAGAAAGTGAGACTGCGAGGTGAAAAAGGCAAATTTATCATCAGACATATGATGCAAGCTATAGAATAAAGAATAGTGATAGAGATGAACCTAGCATCAGGTGGCTGTTTGGCAGATGAAAGAATACTAAATCTGATAATAGTGATTCAGATACATCTATCATGAGACTGCTTTGGAATACATGACGAAAAACTCTAGAACAAAGATAAGTGATGCAAGCACGTGTAACATCAGATGGTTGTACGATGCATGAAGGAACTCTTAGAATATAGAGCAGTGACGGAGAGGCATCTAAACATCATACAGCTGTGAGATACTTGATAAAAGCTCTAGAATATAGAATAGTGGCGTAGACGGCTGTAAAATACGCAACAAAAGCTTATAACATTT